TTTGGTCCCTTGAAAAAGGGGGGATGGCTACTCTTAAGAGCTGTAATTCCTAAACCCTTCCTCCAATTTGAATGTACATACCTTCAAATTAAACCTGAGAGTGTGCACTTTCAGCCCATATCCATTATATTACTATAGCTTGAATATGTTTTGGTAAATACCTGCAAAAAACTAAAATTGTGCCTGTGTCCAAATATATATGGACCTAACTGTATGTCATCACAGGGTCCCTGTGCTTTTCTATTACAATGGAGGCAGATCATGGCTGCTGGGATGGGCTGGCAGGGTGCTATATATAGCTTCTTGAAAACGTCACAGAACCCTGCCTCAGCACTTCTTGATGCAAGCAGTGGACTGGCACTTGGAAGGAGTTACGCAATATCAAAATGCTTTGAAGGGTGGAGGTCTGGAGAGGATGGTCATTCTAGGCAGGCTATTTTTGCATACAAACCACCCTAGGTAATGCCCACGTATGATGCTGAGCCTCCATGACTGAAAGAACTGAAATCCAATGAATGAAAGGAGCAGGCCAGAGAGAGTCAGGCTGGGGAGGAAAGAGCTAGATAATGCTGGATGTCCTCCAGTCAGGTAATGGGGTTGACTCTATCTGACTTGCTGCAGCTTGTAATGTACACTGTAAGAAGCTCACAGTGTGCAGTGAAATCAGAGTAAGCAATTTCAGTACAGGAGAGGAGCCTCTACAACTGTGCAAGATGGACGGGAAGGCTGGAGTTCAGCCTTTGTGTTTTTCCTTTGTCAGTTTAGTTTTGCCCCCAGTGAACTTTATATGACAAATACTTTCTTTTCATTGTGTACAACACCTGCCACTTTAGTCCTGACAGCTGCTGTTCCTATTTGTGTTTACTCAGAACACAAAACAGATAAGATGCAATTATTTGTTTCCTGTCGGAAGTTCCCACACAAGTTTGTCCTTTTCTTATATCTTTTTTTTTATAAAATGATTATGGTCCTGTGTGCCCGGATGTTGGTTTGCGGAGGAATCACAGGAAAGGAAATACTTATTTTCTGCAAAATGTGATGTCAGAAGGTCCATTGGCAGACAATGACTCATGTACAAGACTTAAAGCGTACCTGTACAGGGGCACAGCTCTCAATAGAGACAGGTTCTGGAGGTTCTTGCTCTTCCTGGCTCTTCGAATGATGAAGGATGAAAGAGGGGCAGGAAAAGGAACGCTGGACGCAGCAACATTTTTACTCATAGTTATTATGTTTTAATGGAAGTACAATGTGCAAGTTTATGGTTTTGTACATACTGTATGTTGGCACATTGTTAGCAAATAAGAAAGTAAGTATGTATCCTATATTGTCCAAAGCCTATGTTGGCATACCAAAAACTCCGACACATCAAGGTCAAGAGTAAGCTGGCTATACACTAGGAGAAGTTTGCACGAAAATGTTTGTTCTTGGAACGTTCTTCAGTAAACTAAAGGTACTGCTCCAGGCTCCCAAGGTACATGCTTTGAGGAAGGCTTTGGTCAAAATGCATCAGTTTTTATGAATCATATCATGTCCGTGTTGTACTAATAAAGACTGTTTATAAAAAAGTGATGGTGTTGCCAGCAATGTCTTTACATATTCTTCAGTGAATGTTCCAGCCTGAGCACAGTTCCCCCCCACTCCCATTCTACCAATATAGCAGTAGAGCTTGGGTGAGTTGTTTGGACTGCTCCAGGCTCCTTCGTTTCGATCGATGGACTCACATTGGCTGGGATGTGCCCGACCTAGCTCAGCGCACTAGGTAGGAGAAAAAAACGTCCCTAGCGGAGGTCCATTACTAAGCCCCGTGGTCAGGGCGAAACGCGTTGGTCTTGACGGAGCTGGGCTGACGCTGCTTTCACTCTGGTGACTGTCGGGCTATGCTAGTGCGTGGCATTCAGGGCATTTTCCTCTTTGTGGAACGTTTGTTGGATTTTCTATTGTTAATGGATTTAAATTGTTCATTTTCAACCATAATAACAAAAAATATTTGAAAAAGCAGGATGGAAATTTTATTCTCAAACATACAAAATTCTAACTGTAAATGTGGTTTTCATGTGGGGAAAATCATACATATTGTAATGAAACTTGTTTAATACGGCTGGAATTCCATTTAGATAGCAGATCTGGCTGAAACTTTAAGGGCTTCAAAACAAATTTAGTTCAAAGATTGATGGCTAGAAAGAACGTTCTATTGCAAATTTTTGTCAAAATGTTCTTACAAAGTTTTACTAGCTTGTGTCTCCAGTGACAACATAAAGATGTTTGAGATGACTATTGATTGTCCTGATGATTGTTATCAATATTGAGATAGTGGAGTGTAAAGTGTTGGGACTTCACACAAAGTCCCATGGAGCAGCATGAGTAGTAAGATCGAAGAGAGAGAATAAGAAAGGAGAGGGAATAGGAAGGGAAGGTAGGCCGGCTTTATGGTTTTCTCAATGAAGCTTGTGGCTAGAGTAATCTTAAGGCTGCCATTCGTGAAAATTTTGGCCAAAATTTGAGTCATGGGTGTTCCTGAAACCACCACCCGGCTCAACAAAAGTTGATAGAAGAAATTACTGTTGTTGAAGGAGCTGAGTGGACAACTTCCAGCTGAACAGCTCCTACATCCATTCAGATGTGGTCACTGGTTAGGTATTCTGGAGCCAGTTTTCAGAAAACACTAGCCAGCAGAGATTTGTCTATGTGTGTTGTGTAGCGTGAAGGGTGGAACCTGTTAGGTAGCTGTAAAGGGTAAGTTCACCTTTTCATGAAAATTGAAATAGTGAACTTAAGCCAGCCATTGATTGATCAAATCTTGCCTGGTTCAGGCCGCTGAGATTCGATCCATCTATGGGCAGGCTAATTCGATCCATCGATCAACTTGGGTACAACCAGCCTGTCAGATTTTTTTTTATGTGATTACTGCCGCTGGCCATAGCCACTAGCAGTATTGTGTTCTGCCAGACGGCAAAGCAGAACAGGATAGCGTTGCGGGAGGAATTCCCTCATCAACACTCGCTATGTTGGGGAAATTGAGCAGTTCTCTTATCATCTATGGCATGCCTAACTCCACCCCTCAGAACACCTCTATGCATAATGGTTGTGATGCCCCATGCTACCGGTGTAGTGGTCAGTACACCACAATACATAGCCCCGGAGTGAATGTCCATCATGATACTTACAATTGCAAGTGCTCATTGGTCAGTGCGACTATTACTTCTGGCTGTAGAGGTGTGACCACAATATTTGGATTTAGTTCACCTTTCCATTTTTCCTGAAAAAGTGAACTTAGCCTTTAAGCCTCTTCATATACATGTTGACATCACTGTGAGGTTTGGCTGTGGAACTAGTCTTTAGTTTTAGTAGAGAAGTGTTGGACTTTTTTATGCTTTGCCTATTCTCCTTGAGTGCAGACATCTACTCCAAACTTTGGTTCTACTGTAAAAGCTAGAGAGGGATCAGACTCCATAAAGGGTTTTTATTAGTATTTATGATCCCAGTGGAGACATTATTGCTGTGCCAGGCAGGACTCTGCTGCAGGCCCTCTACCCCCCTCTTAAATGCATTCTTCTTATAACCCCAAGGAGAGTGGAATATATGGAAAATGAACTCCAAAGAGGGGGTCCAGAAAATTCAGCCTTTACCCCCCTGTTAGCAATCCCCTACATTCCTCCATGGGCCAGTTTTAGCATCACTTTTATTGAAATTTTACATTTTTAAGATTACAGGATTTTAAATCCAGCTGAACACGCAGTAATTTTTCCTCTAGAAGCCAAAGTCTCTGTATTTATGAATTCACAGAGTAATATCCGATTTCTAGCCGTTTTCCATCCTCTGGGCTTTTGGTTTACTGTGCTATTTTAGATACAACAAGCATTTGGCATTGAATAGTTCTAACCACTTAAAGGCGAACTCCAGGCAAACACATATGTGGGCTTACAAAGTAAATGTGAGCGCAATCAAATATTGATCGTACAGAAGCTGCTAGCATAAAAGGCAAACCTCAACACCTCAAGGGAACATAAATAAATAAATATGCAGCGCTAAAAGGTATATATCATAATATGAAACCAGTAAAAAAACATTAAAATGGATGTAGCAATATTACGTCTATAAGTGACGTGACTAGAGTCCCATAATGGTGTTAATAAGTCCAAAAGATAGTGGTGTCCATAAAAACTGGTAATAAGTGCTTTGTGACTTATATTATAAGTGCCAAGGTCTGGTAAGGTGATGCACTTACCAGAAGTACGTATAATATGAGCATTATATGTATAATCCTTATGGTGGAGTCATCGGGATCTGGTCCAGGGCTACGGTGTCATCAGGCTCAACAGTGGACACGCAAGATGATATCTCACACTCGGGGGTCTCACTCCGCTCACAGACTCATCACACAGCTTTGGATATTAACTCCACACTCCCAAATGGCTCCACCTTGTGATGCTCGCAATGAACAAGCCAGGGCAGAAAATGGTGCTAATAGTGTAGTACCGTTTTTATTAAGATATGAAACAAATCCAGAATAAGATAAACAACTCACATGTGATCAAAGAATGGCCTTCCTGGTGGCCATGTACAGCTAGGCGTCAAAACTGGAGGGCTCCCTTGACGCGTTTCGTGCAACAAGCACTTTCAGACATAGTCAGACTTGGGTCCTCCAGTGCAGATAGAGAACTATACCAGAATATGGACATACACACACCAGCTTTCTGATTGGATGATAAAGGAGAAGCAGCATGCTGATTACATCATCCATCTGTTCTCTCCTCCTGTCCAGTCTGCACATGTGCGCTGCTGCAAAGCCAGATTGGCTTCTAAGCATTGGACCTTCTTTTCTGTCTTTGTCTTTTTCTCTGTGTCCTAGTTTTGGGAGGATTTTCCCTCACCCCCTGTCCCTATGACAGTGGTCACCAAGACAGGAAGTTAGGGGAATAGTGTGAAGTAGGGATACATTCAACAATAGAACATTTCTTAAAGTGTTACTAAACCCACATCGGTAAAATCAGTCTGTATATGCAGTAAAGCATGCTTGTTATACTCACTGTGGTACCTAAGGGGTTAATCTTCCGCATAGTGTAAAAAGGCTGTCTTCTCTGATCATCCCCTTCTTCTGCTCTCCCCAGTCCATCTACTGATAGTACGGAGCTCTGGGAGTCACTCTGCACATGCTCTGTTTTGTGTGTATTCTAGAGAGCTTTCTTTTTTCTTTGGAGGGTGCATGTGATCAGCACAAGGCCACTCAGCACTGTCCAGACAGAGGTCAGGGGTCATGCAGTCTCATAGAACAGTCAGAGGAGAATGAAAACTCCTCCTACGAGATTAACCAGTGTTCTTCTGGTTACTAATACTGTAGACGTCACAAGACTGCCATATTCTGCTGATGACAAAAGGTATTTAGCAGTTTAAATTTACTAAAATAATTACCTTTCCATGTTCTGTGTACTGTGGGAGACCATATATAGTGAATGCAGGATCCTGGGCTTAGTAACATTTTAAGACTAGGTTTGCACTGGTGAGTCTGCGTTTTCATGCATTTTTCATGCTTTTTTTAATGTATTTTTCATGTTCTGTTATTGAAGTCTATGGGGACAAAAAAAACATGTATGGTCACACCACAAAATGCACCAGTACTTTATTACAAGCAGAATGTTCCTATCACACATGTTCCTGTAGATAGCTTGATGCAGGTGCATGCTGTAGCACATACCAGCTGGGAACTGTATCAACACAGTAGAAGTATAGATCACCAGCACACCATGGATCTTCAAAACAGCGTCTAAGAGACACCAGCTTCTTTTCACTTGGCCAGCATTTGCAGCGGGGCTCTGCCTTAACATACAGGGTCTCAGGGCGTCAGGCCTGTGTTCAGTCCAAACTACATACTCTATGAGCATGGATTCTGGTCCTAGACCTCTCCTCCACATCCCCGGTCACTGCACACAGTAACCTCTTCCCTCCTGGAATACTCTCACATAGGCCTGTGTTTTACAGTCCAGTGGTCCAGATAGATGCTCATACATTGTACATCAGAACAGAATTATATTGGTGGAGGTGAACACTAATAGCTAGGATTCGTAATGTCCTGGGAGTTTTCAGGTCAGGCTTCATGATGTACGTAAATGGCCTTCACCTATAGCAAGGGCATTATTCAACTTTCAATCAAAACTGCACAGTTTGTTTTCATCTGTAGACATCCCTTATCTGCATAGGCATCTTTTTTGGGAAAGGTGAACTAACCCTTTAAAAATATGCCTTCCCAAGTTCAGTTCATGATAACAGACTGTGATCTTCTGATACATCAGGTTAGCTTCTAAGGGCCCTTACACACGGGCATTCTGATCAGGTCCACCTTTCCGTTTTTCAGGTGGCCCTGATCATAAACTCATTGCAGCCCTATGGACATGTAAACTGACTTGTGTCCATTTATGCCTGCCTACTTCTGGGTCCATCCAGGCCTGCGAAAAAAAAAAGGATGGAATCGTTTTCAGTTTTTCAAGACCTAAATGTGACAGATCGGAGGTAGCCTGATGTAAATGGACAGCAGAATCCGTTTACATCTGACGCTTATTGAGCGATAACAGGTCCACCCATGTCCACTGGGCACAAACTGTATGGGCACAGATGTCAAAAGTGACATCCGTCCCATTCAACTCAGATTCAGCAGGGGATGTGCTCACGGATTCCGCACGTAAGCAGACTAGCAACTGTAATGGTTATCCCTCGTGGCATGCAGTTAAAGGAAAACTAAACCCATTGATTTAGGGCCCATTCACACATGAATGCAATGCGTAAGAGCCGCGTTCCTGCACCGCTTCCGCACCGCATTCCGATCGCAATGCCTTTGTGATCTGCTCCGGGGGTCAGTTAAAAGTTGATGACACCACTATAGCTGGTCGTAAAGGCATTTCGTTTTGCCCACTCCAGATTGCATTTTACAAAAGTACCATGCAATCCGGTTGCCGCGTGTTTAAAAAAGTAGTGAATGCACTACTTTTGGGGTGGTGCGATATCAGCACATTCAAAATGAATGGGCTGAAATTGCACTGCACAGAACTGTACGTGAATCGCACAGGAATCACACAGCATTCCTGTGCGATTGACGTGCAGTTCCTAGTGTGAACGGGCCCTTAGAGCAAAACTAAACCCTTCTACCTTTTTCAGACAAGGAAGCTGCCATCTTAGCTTCTGTTGATCTGCAACTGCCATGGCTACACATGTGATCCGTTATGACTCCTGCCCAGGGGCGGACTGACAATTCATGGGGCCCCTGGGCAATAGGGGATCATGGGGCCCCTGTGTGCTCGCCCACACTCAAAACCACACCCATAAAAGAATATGAAAGGTACCAGGGGCATGTCATAGGGCCCCTTACTGACCCCGGAGCCTTGGGCAGTGCCCGAGTTTCTGAATGGTCAGTCCGCCCCTGCTCCCGCCATTTGATGATTTGACAATGAGGTTAAAAAGCACAAGCAAATGTGACAATTAGCATTCCTGGCATGCAAGGTGTTTGTTTGAAACCCTTAAATTGATTGGTTAATAGTTTCCCCAAACTGTTGCATTCAGGGCCGGTTCACACCATGGTCGCCTCTGACTTCCTATGCAATTTAAACCACATGCAAAAGGCACTACATTTGCGATCTGCAGCAGGTGTCGATAAAAAGTTAACAACAACAAGTTAACAACACAATCGCAAACACAATGCATTTGCCCGCTCCTGCCCGAACCGGAACCAGTTGCAGTGAGCTTTAAAAAGTAGTGCATGCATTATTTTTGGTTTGGTGCAATTTCAACCCTTTCAAAACAAAATGGACTGAAATTGCACCACACAGAACAGCATGTGAATCGCACAGGAATGCACAGTGCATTCCTGTGCGATTCAGATGCGGACATGGTGTAAACCAGCTGTCAAAGCATGCCTTGAATGATAGTCATAGCTGATCACATGTGCAACACCATAGCAATTGTAAATCAAACAGACTAAGATGGCGGCTTCCTTGGTTGTAAAGGATAAGAGGGTTTAGTTTTGCTTTATTGACTATTCAGAAAGTATGGCTAGCAGCCGCCATATGTATATCCACTTGAAGAACAAGCATTTTCTGGCACTTTCTGTTTTTACAAGTTTAAATCAGTATTTTTTGCTAACTCCAAAACATTAGATTTTTTTTAGCAAAGACCCTAAAGAATGAAATGGCGATTGTTGTAATTTTTATGTCACATGGTGTTTGCGTGGCGGTTTCTCAAACAAATTTTTGGGGAAAAAATACAGTTTAATGAATAAAAAAAAAAAAAACACAATATATACCCCATTTTTTTGTAAAATATAAAAGATGATGTTATGGCAAGTAAATAGATACCTAACATGTCACACTTTAAAATTGCGCACGCTTGTGGAATGGCAACAAACTACGGTACTTAAAAATCTCCAGTGGCAACGCATTAAAAATTATTTACAGATTACCTGTATAGAGTTATAGAGGAGCTCTAGCACTAGAATTATTGCTCTCACTCTAACGTTTGCAGCGATACCTCACATGTGTGCTGCGAACACCCTTTAAATATATGTGTGTGACTTATGTATGCACATAGGGATGAGGGGCGCTTTCAATTTTTTTTTTTCTTATTTTTTTTGTTTTTTTTATTTTTGCTCTGTCCATTTACTTTTTTTTATCACTTTTATTCCTATTACAAGGAATGCAAACATCCCTTTTAATATAAATAAGCATGTTAGTTCCTCTTTAAGGACAGATCTGGGGTCAAAAAGACCCCAAATCTCTCCTTTACCTTTAACCTCCCTGGCGGTATGATTATTTCAGATTTTCGGTGCTGAAAGTGGTACCATTTTTTTGCATGGAAATATGTTTTTTTTTTTTATTGTAGGGCTGTAATTTTTAGGAATAACTCACTGAAATCTGTCCGAACAAGAGTCTAGTAAACATCACGGGTAGGATAAAATTTGAAACACAAAATCATAAATTATAATTTAATAAATAATCATAAAAAAATAATAATATAATAATAATACATTTAATTTAATAATATAATCAAACCAAAAACACTTAAATTTGAAATATAGCGCCAAGTTCGCACATCACTGAGCAAAGTCGCAAAATCGTTTTTACTGTTTGATGACGAATTTCCCCACAAATCATTATCACTCAATTCTGCAAGTGGTTCTGATTTACTATCGCTGTTCTCTAGCTGGTCTAAAACCGCTTTTGACCTAAAGTGACGCTTTTTGGACGCCATGGACATTTTTCAGTTTCCAGGCAATAAGAACAGTAAAAATGCAGGCAGGGCTCAGGACAGAGTACTAGGGACAAAAATGTATGTGAAATGGTTTGATACAGTAATGGCATACTATGTGATTTTAGTGATTTTAGTGAATGTCACTTTTTGTCATTTTTGAATTTCCCGCCGTTCCGTCCCCCGTATGTCCCGACGCTTATAGGGGACAGAACCCAGATGACAGATGCCGGCATCCGCCGGATTACATTGCCGGGGACACTGCAGGAGGGACATCGCGGGAGCGCAGGACAAGGTAAGTGATACAGGGATCGTGGAGCAGCGCTGCATGGTATTCCCGAGTGTAGCTGGGGGTTACCGCTTGTGGTACTGAAACCTTACCCCGAGCTACACTCGGGAATACCGCCAGGGAGGTAAAAAGCAAAAGATCAAAAAAAATTTTTTGGTCTTTTGCTTAAAAAAAATGTTTACATCCGCCCTGGAACTGGAATGACGTTGCTCTGGTCCTCCAAGGCCATAGAGGCGATCAGAGACTATAGAGTATGGCTGTGACCAGTTGGCTGCACCCTTGAATCATTTTTTTGGGTGCCGGTTGAATCAGTAAGCCTGAGAGACACCGGCGGAAGGGGGGGGCATCCCTTCTCACCGTTCCTGAAAGCGATCCAGTGGCTAATGAGCCGCTTGGACCACTTTCATGAGAAAGCCTGCCATTCCCAGAAACATAAGATACCAGGGTTATGACCGATATCTTCAGCCATAACCCCGGTAAACCAGTTGCAAACCGCAACCTATATTTACGTAGATGCCGTGTTTGCCGTCTATGCCGTGGTTGAGCGAGTCACTTAAAATGCAAAATTGTCATGTTTAACTGAAGTTAGGACATTTTTAGAGGTCAGTTTTCCTTTAAGCGAGACCTGTCCATTTCTACATCTTCCTAATTGGTCATTACTGGGCCTGTGAAGAAAGTGTCTGTTTTA